AGGTCGCGGATGATCGACGCGGCTACGTCGGACGAAGACAAGGTCACGCCTGTTTACAAACTGGAAGAGATTTGCGAGCTTCTGCGATCCTCGCATGTCAGTATTGTCAAGGAGGTCTCTGAGTTTGTATTGAAACGCCTCGACCATAAGAGCCCAATTGTTAAACAGAAGGTACGAGTTTTTGTTTCTATTGGCAAGTAATTTTCTTCTAAGGTTGGGAATTGAATAGATCTTGACGTTTCGGAATTCGGTTTACTTGGTAATTTCGTTGTACTTGAAATTTTGGGTTTTTAAGGGCTCGTTGTCTGCATGGAAATGGAAATTTTCTGCATAAATTGATTGGTTCTTTGTAAAGATGGTGGATTTATATTAAAGGAATGCCTCTCTTGTATTGCAGTTGTAACTTTGCATGCAATCCTTTGTTATTGCTCTCTTGGCATATAGCGTAGTAGAATAGAAAATAGGAAACCAAATTTGTTGACTGATTCAAAAGTAGCTCAAGTAGCGTTTAGGTTCCTACTGGGTAAGAAATTCATTTGATGAGAGTATTTGTAATTTGTGAAAATTGTTCTTCGGCCTATCAAAATTGCCACAGGAAAGTGGACTTTTTAACGTGATAATACCAATTTTGTTGCTTCTTATGCGTGTAGGCTCTGAGGTTGATAAAATATTGTTTGGGGAAATCTGGCGTGGAGTTCAGGAGAGAAATGCAAAGACACTCGGTTGCGGTGCGCCAGTTGTTTCACTACAAGGGCCAGTTGGATCCTTTGGTAGGCGATGCACTTAACAAAGCTGTGCGAGATACTGCTCATGAAGCTATCTCTGCCATATTTTCAGAGGAAAATAAACCAGCCCCTGTGGAAGATCGTAACAAAAGAATCCAAGGTTTTGGAAGTACAAACTATGAAATGCCATCGGAAGATAAGAAATCATTTCTCAGTGAGGTAGTAGGTATTGGCAGTGCGTCAATCAAGCAGGGTATAAGTAGTTTTACTCAAAGTCACTCGTTAAGAAAGAATGACAATGGAAGCTACAAGAGTCCAAATCTTCATAGGTCATTGACCAAAGAAACCGAGTACACAGAAAGATATGAACCAGTTGAATATCGCAATGAGACTCAAGGGAGTTCTGGTTTTTCAAAGACCGTGGCTTGGGGCCAGGATTCAGGATTAACTGAGAATGAAACAACTAATGGGAATTCCTCCTCAAGTCACTCTGGAAGTAAGATGCCTGAGGAGAGGTTGGTGGAGACTATTGTGACGTCAGGTGGTGTACGATTACAACCTACTCGAGATGCCGTGTTGGTTTTCCTTGGTGAGGCTTCAAAATTAAATGCATTGGCTTTAAGTCACGCACTTGAAACAAAGCTCCAATCTCCAATGTGGCAGGTAAGCCAATTTTGTATCAACGTAGTGGTTAGAAAACCATCTAGTACAGGCACAAAGAAACAAACAAACTAACAATGTTGAAGATTATATAGTACTTTATAAGTGTTAGAACCCAGCAATTTCTAACACAACAGATGAACAAAAGAGACTGATAAAACTTCAAAATAGTATAAGAAAACCCTAGTAATGGTGGTATTCGAGAGACCACCAGCTCTCCCAAAGTTTCCCAAATCTCCCACAAAATCCGACATAAGCCCTCTCAAGCATTCTTCATTCCTTTTTATTCTACTAAAGGCCTTCTAACCAATTGCTAAGGACCCCACTCGAATCAATTACACCCTCTAACTAACTAGTGACACTAATCTCTGTAAGCAGTTACTTGACGTTGTCTAACAATAACGATTGGTCTATAATTTGATTAAAGCTGCAGTATTCAGCACATATGCTGTAAAGAAATAGTTGTATTTTTATTGGGGCTACTTGAAACTGCACTGCTTGAAACTGCACTGCTTTTCTTTATTTTTTATGAAATCTTCTACTTTACTCTTTTTTCTTCAGGTTCGCATGAAAGCTGTCTGTGTCCTCGAGTCAATTTTGAGGAAAAAGGATGATGAACCATTTTCTGTTGTTGCGTCTTATTTTAGTGAAAACAACGAGGTTGTAGTCAAATGCTCCGAATCTCCGCAATCTTCCCTTAGGGAAAAGGCAAATAAGGTAAAACTTTTATTTTTTATTTTTTTTTATATATATGCTAGAAATAAATAAAAGTTGAGAGTTATTGAGTACTTTTGGGGAGTGAGATTCATTTTGGTGAATAATCAAAACTTTCAATATATCTGTGTTAACTTTTAGGAGCGCATGAAGGTCCAAATGCTTCCTTTTACAAGGGACAGAATACATGCTCTAGTTTTATAGGAAAAAGTTACTATATTAACCTCATTCATAAGTTATCTTTCTTCAAACCGACATGTTTTAGATGTTGTAGCTTGTAGCACATAAAATTTGGAAGCTGGTAGATTGTAGACATTTAATGGAGTTCTATTGATGTTCTCACTTCAATGCTTACAACAATATGAAACTGGGCCGTTAGGTTTTGTAGTTGAATGAAAGTTTGGATCTTTATTTACAGGTTTTGAGCCTCCTGGGTGGAGAAAAGACAGGCACGCCTGCAGCCATTTCGGAAAAGCTTGTGAAGGCCGAGACAGTCGCTGTTCCCATGCCTGACTTGATAGACACTAGTGATCCAAATGATTTCATTGGGACAGAAAATTCCGAAGAAAAGCAAAACGACCCAATTATTTCAAACCTGACAACGACACCACCTGCACTAATTGATGATTTATTTGGGGATGGTTCCAGCAATGTTGCAACCACTAGTGAACTGAGAAATGATGACGACCCATTCGCAGATGTTTCATTTCATGAAAGTGAGAATAGAGAACCCATAGATGATCTATTTTCTGGGATGACTGTTGATGGTAAACTGGATGCTAGTGAGAATCACATAGCAGGAAAGAAAAGTGGCTCTGAACTATTTGATATTTTTGGGTCTGATGCAGGGGTTCCAAAGGAGCAAGAAAATAAAAAAGATGTTAATGATTTAATGGCCGGTTTGTCCATTAATGAAAATGGCTCAAAGATGGAGCAAAAAGGAACTTCTTCTGGGACACTATCTCAAACTCTTTTCTCAGATTTAAGTAGTGATCCCAAGCATCAGGTCTCTAATGATGTTTTGAGTGGGATTCTTGGTTCTCAAACTGTAGGGATGAACCCAAATTTTATGTTCCCTCAAGGTGCTATGCCATATAATATACCACCAGGGTTGATGTTCAATCAGGCTTTCCCTTCTCAACAGATGAATTACGGTGCCATGGGAAATCTCTTTGCACAGCACCTAGCAACGATGTCTAACTTCCAACACCTTGGAAATCTGACTGCTCAAAACTCTGGCGGTGTTCATGTTGCAGGAACAACAGGAGGTTATTCTTCGGCTTTTCCTGACATATTCCAATCAAATTTTCCAATTTCAGTCCCTAGTTCAACGACAAACAGTTCAAAGAAAGAGGAAACAAAGGCATTTGATTTTATCTCTGTACGTCAGATTCTTGTAGTTGAATAACTTCCATTGTGTGGTTTTATTACTATGGATATCCGCTATGCGGTATGATCTAGTTCTTGGTTCAATTCAATCATAAAAAGAACCTAACCCATTTTCATGGCTTTTCTTGCAGGACCATCTTGCAGCTGCTCGTGATCCTAACAGATTAGTTTAGCCTTGAAGTTAAGCTTCAAGATAAGGACCTTAGCACTGTCGATGATGAGTTCGAGGCATGTTTACCGGAGTAGGTTACTCTTTTTAAACTGAGAAATTCGATATTCTTTTGCAATAATGGAACATTTGCGGATATTATCCACATGTTTCCATGTAAATTGCGTCCAAAGTGATAAAAGAGAGGAATACTGGTGCTTAGATGAAGAGCGGTGAAACGGTTGATATTGTCTGCATACAAGATGGAACTAGAGTGAGAGGAGTGTTGTGTAGTTCTAGCTTTGTCAGTTTTTCAAATATGTAATGCAAGCACCGATATCATGCCATTCTTCTCTTTTCTTTCTTTTTCCCCTTTTCTCTTTTTTCTTTTTGTTGGTGAACAATACATAGCTCATACAGATTTTTCCCTCCTTTGTTTTCTCCTATCGTCGAGAAGTACTTGTGGAACATGCCTCGGGAAACAGAAAGCTAGTTGTGAAAAAAAGGAAAAAAAAAAAAGTTGCTCTTGCCGTTTATACCATTTTATCGGGTCGTATTGTAAACAATGGAGAAGGTGGTTTCACATTTTTTTTTCCCTCACCATTCTCTATATGAATGCTACATCTAGTGTTTGTTTGTGTGTACATATTGAACTATCAGGTATAATAATTATCGAGTAATACATATCATGAAAAACTTTATTATGAAATCATGAACGCGTGTAAAAAAAATTTACGATTATTTTACAAGTGAGAGTGACTATTTCGTCTCCTTTTTGGGGAGGAAAAAAACTGTCATCTTAGCATTTTTATTTTTAACGAGTTTATATTTTAGGCCGTTTCTGTCACACTCCTCACTGAAGCTCCTCTTGTGCGATGTGATCCCCATGTACAAGACAAGTCTTAAGCGGGAAAAAATGGGGGAAAAAACTGCAATTACTTTATATGTGGATATGTAACTGAGTGGATTAGTAGCATATAAGAGGAACATATGCAGATTAGCATTCAAACAAGAGTTTCTGGAGAGGATCCAGCAACCAGAAATAGCTCTGATATGAATTGTTCATGGTGTGGGACAGAGAGCAGATAATGCACACAAGATAATACTCTATCAGTGTTAAGAGGAGAACATCCAATTATGCACAAATAAAAAGAACAGAACTGAGGTGGCTCTTGTTAAATTAGGAGCTTTTTCTGCAGCATTCGTTAAAGCAGCAAGGTCAGCAAACAAAAACAATGCTCATGATATCTTAGAGGATGGATCTTCAAGGTCGCTTCGTATCCTTACTTCCATCTTCTTCGTTCTCTCTAGTTGTTTCACAACATCCAGCCGCTCGGAAGTGTAAGGCGAAGGGATCTAGAAGCAGTAGGAACAGAAGAACAATTGGCAACAGAAGGGGTAAAAAGATGGACATAAATGGTAAATGTGATTAAAAAAAAAAGGAAAAGAAATTTACCATGCATGGCATGTACTTCTTGATTGCTGCTAACATGGCTGCATGACCTACGGCAGATACCTCGTCACAGAAAGGAAGAAAATCAACTTTCACACAATTGCCTCACACTGGCGTAGCAAAAGCCATTGGCAAAGGCATCAAACTTAAGACAATGTGAACTCAACAAAGCTCATTAAAGAATGAGAGAGCTCACAGGAAGTAACATCAGAATTGTAACGGGGATAAGCGAGCCAACGTCATTAAGCAGTCTTTTCAATTTATATCTCTCTCTCCTTGTGACCTTGTAGCCACGCGATTGTTTAAAGAGCAGCTCCATAGCAATCATAATGTCTACAGAAAGCAATTGAGTGCCCATCCATATATCCTTCAAATCAGATGAGTTAGGAACATTAGCATCTGAGAAATACGAAAACATATCCCAATCAATGCAAAGTCTATTTGCAACGGCCTTACAGAGCTTGCAGATGCCAACTTGACAGTGTACTTCTTAAGCAAACTCTGATGCATAGGATTTGCTTTTGCAGTAGAGCTCTCCTCTGTAGAGTTTACGGCTTCAGTTCCAGGTGCGCGATTCGCCTGCCACTGACAATGGGCACACTCGAAAAACAGAGATGAAAACGCACAAAATGATCTGGTCTAAAGTTTGTACCTTTGTCAGTTGAAAACCACGCTCGGACGTTTTGTTTGGACTCCCCGCTGTAATTAAGTTACTAGTCTTTCTTTGAGAATTCATGGTTGTACCTATGGCTTCCCTAGATGATAAAAGTGCAGGATCATGGGCACTTGTTTCTGTTATCTTTAGAAATTCACTGGTTCAGAAATAAGAAACAAACACAACTTGTCAAAAACAGTCCAGTAGCCATTCAAGAATCAGAAACCATAACTTATGGCCATAGGCGGAATACCTTGATTTGCCATAAACAGCCCAATAGTCTTCCAAACAAAAGGCTAACAGGGTCTGACTGAAAAATTGATGACAACCTAACTTAAACTCTGATTGGCCACTGAAGTATAGGAAGAAAGCGTTTAGCAAATAAAGCTCCACAATACGATGATATTATTTAGCTACCTCTGGAGCAAGAATGATAGCAAATCAGTGTCTAAAAGCTGCTGAGTTGAACGAGTGGAATGTGCAAATCCGGAGAAAATATCATAGCATACAGTAAAAACAGTAGATAAAACAATCTCTTTCTCAGCTTGGAGGCAATGTTGCTTGGATCTTCGTCTCTCTTGACTGCTTACCGAAGGAAATGCCGCATAAAAATCAAGCCATCCGATTTCATCAGTCACTACCTGTAGAGAGTTTTCAGATTAGGACGCTTACATTTTGATCTCCTTGGGATAAGTATAATAGAGACACACCTCCATAAAGGATTGGTACATGGATATGTAAGAAAAGTCTGGATAAATGAAAATGCTACCGCACTCCAAGTAGCTGCATGAAAACCATTAAAATCCAACAATCGGCGTAATTTTTTAACCATTGATGCATTTAGAATATAGCTTTAACGCGAGGTGATTTTACCTAAGGAAGTCCCTAACTGGCTCATCAAGATCCTTTATGCCCATTCTTGATAAGAACAATCTAGTCTTTCTTCCAAGATATGCAAAAATTCCTAAAGTGGCCAAAGTATCTGCTTGAACCTATCAAAACAGACCATCAATCATTCAAATGTTGAGGTAAAACATTTTACTTGATAATCACTGGTCTTTAAAATAGAAATAGCTATGAGCAGGAATCCTAACAACAAAAGATGGACAAATTGGTCATTATGTTATGTCTTTGAGACTTAGAGTACTGCAAAGATTATAACATGAAAAATAACCTTGTCAGGAAAAGTCTGCCCTCCTGAATTCGTGGTCTCTTTGTGGAATGCTATTGAGAGTTTCTTCTGAGCCAAACCAATCCAAAACTCTAGGTCTTCACTTTTCTTATTTGGAAGAATCTTTGTGCCAAAATGGGACAAAAAATCCAATTCAAATCCAGCCTCAGTGACTAATTGGTGCAACTTTTCCACTGACACAAGGCTGTGTGAAAGATCCATGAATTTTACCATTACATCTTTGACTGAAAACGTGAGCGAAGTACAGGAAATACGCCCACAACCCAATTTCCCCACTGCAGCGCAGCAGCTGATAGCCACGACTATCCCTGCGACACCACTGAACACTTCTGTGTTTAGGCTATGCTCCTAATAGCATAAATGATATATGAATTTCAATATGCCGAAAAAATACCTAGGATAATAATCCAAGAGGCATATCATGCACTAAAAAACTAGAAATGATTTGAGCAAACCTTCCTGCATATTCCATAGACCACTTCTTTAACAAGGGAACGAAAAATGCTGCAACACGCGGCAGTTCAACGAGCCTAAACCATTCTCCCAATTCAGAATGCCTCGTGTTCAATTGATTATCTATACACTCACCAATTGAATCAATCTTCGGTGTCAAGCTGAAACAGAAAAAGGAACAAAATGTTAAACCTAGTGTATACCTCATTAATATTTGTCTCCAGATAGAGAAACAGTATAAAGACAACAGAATAGACAACTTGCCGAGCAAAGTTTGAAGACCAAATTGGACTGACACAGAAATAAAGTTATGCTTGAAAATTAACGAGAAAAAGAAAAAGGAAAAGAAAAGAAAACTAGAGCTCTAGGACTCACGAGCTCGGAAATCACATTAATTCTTTCTCCCTTCTGAAATACAAAAACAAAATATACTTACATCTCTTTAACCGGGGAAGCATTGTTACAACGGCGTTCAAGAGAAAGCAGAACTTCTACTTCAATCGCTGTCTTCAACAGTGCATAAACAGCGACCTGCACAACCATGGTAATGAAGGACTATTGATCCAGCATTTTCATTTAATCTGTTAACATGACAAATAAGTTTTCACTTCCACTTAATTGGAATTCATTTTGACAACTTGTTCAATGCTGACTTCTGGAACAGCAACCATATGTAGAAAAATACATTCTTGTAAGCTTAAAGTTGGCGAAACAAATGACACTAACATGGCTACTAAAGAGTACAATCTATATAACTCTACCAGGTAAGAAATTCTTTTATGCCATCCATGTACATCCTTTCCAACCCATGCCATGGCTAGTTCTGGACCAGTTCCGGACAATTTGAGTGACTCGACTGCAAGGGAGAAGCTTCTAGCTGATTCATGTAAAACCCGTACAAGAGAATCAATCCGATTGTGCTCGAATCCAATTTCACCATTCTCAATTTTGGAGTCTGCATCACTAATCTCACTATTGGTTTGAGCAAAAGAAGCAGAAGAAGCTGCAGATGATAACGTTGCGCGATAAAAAGACGGCCTTGGTGAAGTGTAACACCTAAACAATAACCCAAAGAAGACATTTTTCCTTGCAAGTTTGTAATAATTTCTTTGTTCCTTGGATCTGCAACTTGAAGCTTGAGGTGTATAAGCTGAACTTTTTTGCCTCTTTGCTGATCTAATAGATTTTCTGTCACACAGAGAAAGGTCTTACTAACTTCACAATTGTGTAATTCCAAACCGAATTTATGCTACAATGTAGCTCTTCCCATGTTTAGAGAATACACAACAAGATTTAGTTAAGTCAAGCAACCAAAAAAAGAAAGTTCTCGATTATATACCGAGAAAGATAACGCAAATAGAAAATGGGAAAGTCCTAAAATGAAAAAGAAAAAAAAAATGCTAATACAATCTAGCTATCAAAAAGAGCCCAGATGACATAATACACACAAGTTGAAATAATACATCCATAAATAAAAAGGCAAGAGATTTACAAGTTTAAAGTTATAAAAAACAAAACAGTTTCATTTATCTAATCAGAACACAACAATGTACATATAACATATCAGATTTATCAAAACTTATACACGCAGGGAGAGAGAGAAAGCAGAACGAGAAAAGAGAATATGAGAGAGAGAGAGAGGGAGAGAACTTACGAGTAGTGGAAGTAGGGAAGTTGCAGAGATAAATGGAAAGCCATAAAAGACGGAAAAGGCAAAAGGGAAGGAAACACAAGCCGTGTAGTAATTCACAAAAAGAAGAGGTTTTGAGCGTACCCATCGAGGTGCAGCTCACACACGTAGAGAGAGGGAGAATAATATTTATATTTCTTTATTGAAAAAAAAAAAAGAAGAAAAGTTGGCAATGCATAATTTTATATTTTTGCTGTCTTAGGGTTTATCTCCCACTCGCCAGCTGTTTTGTCTTTCAAGTTGTGAACTTGACAAACTTCCTCTTTGGGAAAAAAAGAATATTTCTTTCTTTCTTGCTTTAGGATTTGCAGAAAACAGAAGATTGAAACGTAGGGATGAAGTAACGGCTAACTGCAGGTTAATAAGTCTGTTGCCATTGAAACTAACCGAGGTAAAATCTTACTTTATTTTGGGTTCTTCTATGGTCCTACCTGAAAAAATGACTAATGGTACTTCTATATTTTAATCGTTAGATTTGTATAAAAAATAATCTATCCTCTATAGTTTTTTAATCTAATGTGATTTTTTAATTAGATTTAACGGTTGAAAATTTACACTACCAGTAGATAGATCATACATGAGAAAGTCCCTATTTATTAAGGTGCAGTTGTAACTTGTAATGCTTCTTTTCTCCCAAAAAGTCACTTGTTTATCCTAGTATTGCGAGTCTTTCTAGTGAGCCTTTCGTAATACCGCGACAAAATTCACAAGTCAATTGTAACTTTTATAATATTAACATTTGAAGTTTACAAATTCATTTGAAATTTATATGTCTATTGTTACTTATGCAACTCAAACGTTTGAAATTTGCAAGTTTGAACATAAAATTCACAAGTTATTATATTTCTGATGTGGTGTCAGAAATTTTTCTACCGACACCATAAAAGTTCCCATTACACGTGAGAGAAAAAGTGTGTTTGCTTTGGGTAAGTGAATGCATTAATCAAATCTTTTTTTTCCTCCAATTAGGTGAGAAGCAGATGGTAGTAGTCATTTTTCAGTATGGACTTGCAATTAATGAGTAACAAATAATGAATTGGTAGCAAGGGAGGAATGGAGTATATAATCAATGAGCCTGAAAATTATCGAGGCTTAACTATGTCGATGAGAATTTTAACAAATGGAAAAAAAATATAAAAAAAAAATTGATTTAAGGAATTCTGATTTTTATTTTCCTGGTAGAATATGATGAAAATATATATAAAATAATTTGATTTAAGGAATTCTGATTTTTATTTTCCTGGTAGAATATGATGAAAATATTTGTTTTAAAAAAACTTGCAGAGAATCAACACAAGTGACCGGCTAGAAAAAAATTACTTCATTTCTATGGTCTTGTATAAAAAACGAATAATAATCGTCATTTTCTGTCATTAATCCTCTCAGCGACTCTCTCTTTAGAGTCTTCTAGGTCATCTTCCTTCCCAAATCCAAGTTCAGACATGTCTTGTTTTGCCATCAAATTCCTGCAAGTTGTAAATGCAGGATTGTGTTATATAACTGTAACAGCTTCTATATAGTAAAGAGAATAGCACATTAAAATGAAGCTTCCCTATCTATGAAATGAACGAGGATAAGCATAGTATCAAATAGTTAATGTATCATCCAAGTACAAGGAAAATTCGTGCCATCCAACTTTATCTTTTTACAAGATAGCTACATGAATCGAGTAACATCTTCAAATGGAGAAATTTTAGTGTCTGTCTGATAGAATGAGGGACTGTTTAGCCACGAATGTTTATCAGGCCATTGGAGTATAATGCATAAACTTTTTGATAAGAAGTATAATGCATAATTTTTTGATAAGAAGTATAATGCATCTTATCAAGTTATATTTTGGCAGGCTGGCAGAAATCTCCAAATAGAAACAAGTAAGATCTACACTAGTTTAGTATGAGATATAGGAGCAATGCATAGTGTAGACTAAAAGCAGCAAGCAAACTCACTTCTCCATACGACATTGGAGATACTTTTTTGATAAGTGTCTGCACTTTTCAGATTGGTGGCCGAAAGATTTGAGGCAATTGAGATATTCCTTCTTTTCCTGAAAAGATAAAAAGAGGGTAAATAAATAAGCTACGCAATCGCAGAAACATAGGCGGAGAAGCGAAGAACTGTGTTGAACCAACTGTAAGAGGTACTTTTTGAACAAAATCCATTATCTTCTCAAACTAGACATAAACAAAATATAATAACTTGGAATTTTGTTTAAAATCTTTGAGTAAGATTATACCAGGTCACACAAATGCATATGATCCAAAGGGAAGACCCCTTTCTCTGGAGGTACCGGTCTAAGTCCCCTATTCCCACCAAATGCACCGCCTACCAGAAAAAACACTCACATTAGATATGGATATCTAAATTGATCAAAAGAGAAGAAGAAACTAATAGCAATATTTTCCGAATCTAGAATAAGATAGCTTTTTGATGTGTGATGTTAATGGTGGTTCTTGTAGTTATATTTCTCGACGATGTAATATGGCTGCCCACACATTAGCAAAGTTATCCTTGCAGATCAGTTTTGGTTAAAAGACTTTCCTAATTGTATTGATGTGTTTGTAACTGCCGATATGGCTCAGCTTTTCCCTTAAAAAAAGAATAAGGTAGCTTATTGGGCATTCACAGTCTATCCTCTCCTGATTAAAAACATGATTTCCTCTTCCTTTCAGTAACCAAATACAATTTTGCAGATTCCAAAGAAAAAAGTTCTTAAATGATCAAGAAAACATTTATTAAACTGTTTGATTATGCCTAAGAGACTCGAATTCAGAAACCCATTATTCCCATTCTCCAATCAAGTTCTCGGAAACACACAAAGATGCTGCAAAGGCAACTTCAAGACACTATTTTTTTCTATGAAACTTGACAACTTCCTAATCCTAATGGAAATACTTAAACAGGAAAAAATGATTTTATTTTTTTGAATCGCAGGAAAAATCACCCATTTCAAAAGCAAACAAATAGTTTGGAATTCTAAAATCCAACAGTATATGGAGGTGAAAAGCAAATCTATTCAGAAAGATTTTAACTTCCTAAAGCTACTTGAATCAGCTCCTTATTTCTGTTTAGAGAATCAACATCAAGAAGTTCGAATTCCGACCCAAAAAAAAAAAGTGAGAATTAAAACAGGAAGAACCTGCACTCATCGTGAAAGCTTGTCGAAGAGAGATTCAATATTCCAGCAACAACTCAATGGGATCACCACTGGGCTATTATCGCCATTTGAGAACTTCTGAAACACTCGGTTCGGAAGGAAAACGACGTCGTTCGGAAGCCGAGAGATGGAAGCACAAGCCCTGGCAACGGACTCGAAAATTAGGAGGGGGTGGATTAAAGAAATTTTTTCATGTTTTAAATATAATTGTGTAATTTTTATATTATTTTAGGGGAGAAGTCTACAGTATGGTATTAACTGTTGAGTGGGATTTTTTTAATCAATAAGATGGTTTAATTAGTGGACATTTAGTTCATGAATTTATAATTATTTTTGATCTATGTGTGTTTTTTATGAGAAAAAATATTGTAACGAGTCACAAACTATGACACGAATCTACCAACAAAACGCACACTTATTTTTTCATGTTTTACATATAATTGTGTAATTTTTATATTATTTTAGGGGAGAAGTCTACAGTATGGTATTAACTGTCGAGTGAGATTTTTTTAATCAATAAGATGGTTTAGTTAGTGGACATTTGGTTCATGGATTTAGAATTATTTTCGATCTATGTGTGTTTTTTATGAGAACAAATATTGTAGCGAGCCACAAACCATGACACGAATCCACCAACTAAACGCACACTTATTTTTTCATGTTTTAAATATAATTGTGTAATTTTTATATTATTTTAGGGGAGAAGTCTACAATATGGTATTAACTGTCAAGTGGGATTTTTTTAATCAATAAGATGGTTTAGTCAGTAGACATTTGGTTCATAGATTTATAATTATTTTCAATCTATGTGTGTTTTTTGTGAAAAAAAAAACATTGTAGCGAGCTACAAACTATGACACGAATCCACCAACCAAACGCACACTTTGTTTTCCATAATTTACTTAAGGTGATTTTAACCATATTTAACGCTCTAAAATATGCACTTATAATAAAAGTGAAACTTTGGGCCCCCCACTTTAAAAGAAAGAAGGCCGGTTCAACTCAGCCCGCCCCAAGATTGTATAAACTAATTTAAAAAATCAAAAATAAAAAGAAAGTGTTTAGCCCCGGCTCGAATAAGTGCTCAGGCTTAAAACCACGGCTTAACCTGTCCTGAAGGTTAAGGTTAGACTGAGTCAGATTCAAGCTAACATTGACTGACTTCGGTCAGCCCGTTTGACCCAACTCAAATTTACAGCTCTAACTTACAATAAGCATCCTTTTGTAGAACAAGTTGTATTAGGTATTTTAATTAGTTTCTAATTAAAAGCATTGTACCCAAACTTTTACACGTCATTTGATTTATAAGTTTAAATAGAATTAAAATTTATTTAAATTTATGTTAAAAAGAAACATTATAGTAAAAAAAGAAAGCTCAAATGAAAATATTTTTGTCCAAACCTATAAAATAAACAAAGGCTTAATATTGGTAGATTACTTCCCGAACTTTTGATTTCTATCCGTTTTATTTATTGACATTAAAATTAACAATGAATTTTAAAAAATAAAAAAGCAATCATATGTCTATCTCATGATAACTTATAATTTCACAAAATAATTACATTGTGCGCGCAAAATGTACTCTTCACTATTGTTAAAACTCATGAAAGTTATAACATTTTGTATTTAATATATTTATTTATGTTAAATTTTCAATAATTATTTGATAAAGATATTATTATCTATGTTAAATTTTAGAAATTATTATCAATTTTAATATTAATGATCAAAACTGTCGAAACATAAGATTTTAGAAGTGACCTATAAAAATAAAAACTTTAGAAAATACAAAGTTTTTTGTACAATACTCCTTGAACTTTTTGAATTTAGAATTTTGGTTCTTATTTTTTCTTGACATTTGACCCATTTAACTTTTAAATCTTTACAGTTAAGCCCCAATTGAAAATAACGTTTATTTTTTTTATGATTCTGATAACATGAAGCGCATGTGAGCATCTGTTGAGGGTAATAAAGGTCATTTCTCACTTTTAGAGAGTCTAATAACCCTTAAAAACTAATAGTTGTTTGTCAGAGCATATTGTATTCAGACACATTAGATGACTCTGAACCAAACAAATGAGAAATGACTTTCATACCCTTTATAAATCTTCACATGCGCATCATATGATTAGACTTATAAAAAAAACAGGCGTCATTTCTGATTAGAACGTAATTGTAAATATTTAAAAGTTGAAGGAATCAATTACTAAAGAAAAAAAAAAGCACTAAATTGTCAAGTTTAAAAAGTTGATGCAATATTAGTATGAAAAAACCTATAACGATGCTAATAGTTTAGTAACTAGCAATGATAATAACCGCTCTACTAGTTCGAAAATATTTTGGGTTGTGGGTCTAATAAAAAATTGGCAGAGGGATAATTGTAATAAATTATATAAAAGACAGGGTACAAATGGGCCATATGTAAAAATACAAGATTGAAACTTGTATTTCAAAAAATAATAAAGGATGTTTTTGTTATTATGCCTCTTTGGGTAAGGAACAATTAGGGTTTATCCCTCAGCCTATAAATACGAGGTTTGCGTTTTGGTTTCTCAGTTCGAGGACAGCAGATCAAACTGCGTGCTTCAATCCGGTTCACTTTTCTGTCCACTCTCCTGTTCTTTTACTTTCATAGATTTCTTTCAATGTTTTTTCGTACCATTGTTGTTTCCGTTTGCTTTTATGTTTTTTCTTGAAGCCGAGATCAGATATCTGAGCGGATGATGAAAGAAATTGGTATTCAGTACTGACTAGTACATGATGTTTCCAAAATTCGAGCTTTTTAAAACTGACGCTCAGATTCTTAATGCTTTTTCCTTCCATTGTTTTTTCTTTTCTGATTGCTTAAATTTTGAGATTTCTTTTTACCAGTTTTTTTATTTGTATGCGTAAATTTATTCTATTGGTTTCGGATGTCGTTTTCCTTCTTTTTATTTTTTATTTTTTTTTGGAAACAAGCTTTAAGTCTTCATGTACTTTCAATTTTCATAGTCGGTTTCTGAATTCTGAGACAAGAATCCTGTGAATATGAAGGTTCGGGCTCCAAAAATCCTCTTTTTTTTT